ACAATCTCATCTGATCTTTTAATGACAACCTTTGAAAATCTCAGAAAGTTTATAACTGTAGATTTCACAATTTTCCTAAAATATTATAACTGGGAGAAATAATTATTAAATTTCTTTACACTTAGAAAAAAAATTCTTGTGTTCTTTTTTTGTTTCTGGGGATTATTGCTAATATGGAATGGGAAGTTGATAATTTTTCTTTCATTTTCGCATACCTCTTTATTTCCATTATCAGATGCCATAAGAAAAAGAAATTGTCTCTTAATTTAGAAGAGTTCTCAGCATTTAAAGTTTTAATAATCTTCAGTTGTGTTCACTTCCTGAACAAAGCATCTGTAGGAGCAAACACAGACAATAGGAATCAATCAGTTTCATTGAGCAGAAGCTTAACCCATGTAGAGGAAGATGTGGTTGTTAAAATAGGTAGAGTTTCTGGACTAAACTGTTAGTAAGCAGGAACCAAAGTCAATGTTATCTCTTAGCCTAGACATTCCAAATATTTCTATTTACTACTGCGGTCCCTGGGCATAGATCATGATAATATTGTTCAAGCAAAGTTTTTTATTAGTAGCAAGTTCATAAAATCATTTTCTGTGAAAAACAAAATGTACAAAGACCTTGAGCATTGCTTTCCATTTTTCAGTTCTACTCCATTCAACAGCCATTATTGAATATCCGTTCAATGCCAGAGTCTATACTAAGAGCTATAACACAGGCACAAAAGAGTATAAAGAGTCATTCCTGAAGTTCAGGAATAAAGTACAAATTACAGAGGTATGATATAAATATACTGAAGATTACATAACAGAGAGATTAATAGCAATGCTTCTTGTGTAATTATAATTATTTTATTTTCATTGAGCTCTTCCCAGATAGTTCATCTACCTATTATCAGAAATAATATTGGTAATGACTAGTGTCTATTAAACATTACTATTTGATAGACTCTATTTTATATTGTTCAATCCTTAGTACAGCTTTATTATAGACATATTAGTAGTATCTCATTTTCAAACATGGAACACATTGAGGACCATTGAGGTTTAACAACTTGATCAAGTCCACAAAACTAATAAGTTCAGAGGGTAGGTTTTGAGAATAGCTTTGTCTGGAAGAGAAGTCCATATTCCTTACCATTATTTACCCTTGGTAAGTCTATTCTTTTAAAGTTATCATTTTCATAAAATTTGTGAGATGGTAAAAATAGTGTTACGGAGATTCTTTCCAATAGCTGAAAGGAGAGTAACAATGAGTATTTGACATGATTGCATGGCCTTATCAAATATTGTAACACTTAATTTACACTCTTAGATATTGCTCAAGTTCTTACCCAGATCTGCCAATATTAGCTAAACCCATGTTATTGACTCTCTTTCAGCATTTAAGTGATCCTGCCATCACTGTTTTCTATCATTTTATTAGTGGTCAGTGAACGTTGCGACTCACGTTCTGCAGCAGAGTTTCCTTTTGAGCTACTTCAACATATTTGTTCATGGGGAAAAAGTGTGACTATGGATACTAGAAAAGAGAACACAGAGCCTTTAGATATTAGAAATTTATATTTATCTGCTGTAACTCTTTAAAAATCTTTTAGTTCCATGAGATCCCCTAGATGTAAGAGATTAGAGCAACAAATTTGGGGTTGAGAGATTTGTGATCATCTTTTGTTTCCTTTTATTTACATTATTTCTGTGTGTAGGCAATAGGGAGGTCAGAGATAAAGTGATTCACTTATTCACCATCATTATGATCCAGTAATTAACGTGGGTCTTCATACTGGTGGCTTTGTTCAAAATGGCCTTCATGCATGCATTCACAGCAGTAACATGGAATGATGTCCAGTGTACATACGATGAGGATATTTGTTGAGCTAACATTTAAGCAATACATGCCATTTTGCAATACCAGAGAGTAATAAAGAGAACAGATAATGAAAGAGACACAAACATCAGCTGTAACAACCAATCTCTTCAGTACCGAAATCTCTACAAAGGAGTAGGTATTGCTTCTCATGTGACTCCATAAAGGTAACAAGTGTTTCTAATTATAATTTAATGCACATGCTGAAATGAGAAGTGTATACATTTTATAAAACAATTAAATCTAATATAAATGTGTTAATATGTGAAAGCAAAGTTATTCTTAGTTATAGTTTATTTTTTTCTTGTAGCTAAGGGTACTTGGAACTTCCTCTTCTGTATTATTTGATCCTCCTCTGCGTTCAGTATTGTTCTTGGATTGTACATACTATATGTACTAGAGTTCTTTATATTTATAGGTTATTTGCAGCTAATGTGTGGTACAAAAGCCTTATCAAGTGGAGCATCTTTATCAATTATTATCTAGAAAGATTTCTCCCTCTGATAAATGCTGCACAACTGCTAATAACATTGCTTCTTTGCTCATTAACCTTTTCTTGCCTGAGTGCTCTTTACCTGCATTCTTTCTTCTAAAACCATTTATATCTTCCTCCATCCTGGAATATATGAATGGGTTTTTACAGTTTTTGATAAGAAAAGTCACTTCTTAAATGGGGTTGGAGAAACATGAGCAGGAATGATGGATTTTTCTACTTATTCTAGGTAGAAGATTGATGATATAACCTCATTTACCAACATTTACCTTAGTGACCAGATAATTATTGTGTACAAGTTAAAAGATAAGTTATTTTATAATAAATGAATGAATTTTACTTTTGATCCCATATGATGTCACAACATATTTGATCCCTCTTCTAAGAACTAGAAGAGGTAAAAATTCAATGGAACAGTGATTGAAGGAGGAGCTATAGTGGTGTAGTGCTCTCTAGGCAAATGCAATTTCAAGCAGATAGTGGCCTCCAAGCAATGCATTCTGCAGCTGAGTTTCTACCTTTTTATTTTGCCTTCAGTATTCAGCTTTTTACTCTAAGACCCTGTCTCAAGAATATCCATAGTGACTCAAAGTTTTCATCTGATGCCAGATTTTAGGAATTTCAGACATTCCTTGCCTCTTCATTTCCATTTTGCTTCATTAAGATTCATGCTTCTAGGTGATTATTGGCAGCATGCTTATACCTAAGAATTGGGAGACCAGGTATAAAGTATAAATGGAGTGCAATATATTTTGTGTTTTATTTTTTTGTTATAAGTGATTATTAAATTAAGTGTTTTATCATCCCACTTTGACAGGTATAAATTTATATCAATTTAGCCCAAGCACAACATTAGGATTTTTGACTCCTTAGGAATGCAGTGGTGTGGGGAGAAATGGGCCTCCAACTGATTCTTTTCAATCCAGTTTTGTTCCACACTGCAGGAGGTCTTTTTTGCAAGTGAATAGGAGTTCCCACCTAGCCACTGTCTGAATTCTCTATCTTTAGACATGTATAAAGACCACCCTTTCTTCTTAGATTTGTGCACCTTGGTGGCACAGACTACTTACTACTGGGGAGCCAGGAGGGAGAAGGTGATTTCAAAGGCCTTGGATAAAGGCTTGAAGAATCAGGAGGTTTGAAGTATGATTAGGGAGAAGGGAGTACAGACTCCATATAAGTGTTTTTCTTGACCCAGTAGACTGGTAGTGAAGGGTTTAGTCAGAGAAGGGCCAGAGTGCTCAAGAAATACATTGAAGTGTCATGATTTGATTCATATTTTAAGAGGATCCTTTCTAGCTTTGACTGAAAATACACCTTAAAAGGAAAAGAGTAGACACAGGTAGAACTATTGCAATAATCTTGATGAGGAACAGTAGTGGGTCAGGTGGTAATTGTGGATGAGAGTGGTACTGGATCTTTTTGAATGTGAAATAAATAGGATGGATCACATTTGCTTTATAAGAGAAGGTGAATGTTATGGCTAAAAATCAGAAAGGATGGATTGACTTCCAGTAAGCTGAGCAAGTCTGCTATAGGAATGGAGAGGGAAGATAGGAGTTCAGCTTTTGATAAGTGTATCTGAAAAGTCTCTTCAACATCCAACTGAGAATATTTACTAGACAATTGGATATATAAGTCTTCAGTTTAGGGGAGAGTGTAGTGATAAATGCTGGGACAGCATCAAACTTGAAACTGGGTAAGATCACCAAGGGAATGAGAAGAGATAGAGAAAAAAGAAAGGAAGGAAGGAAGGAAGGAAGGAAGGAAGGAGGGAGGGAGGGAGAAAAGACTGGACACTGGGACAACTGAATCAAAAAGGTTTAAAATAATGTGGTTGCTATTAAATAGTAAAAAGTACTTTAATTATTTTTATTTTAAAAGAATGTTTAACTTATGTACATAGCTGTTATGATGATCTTGATCATTTTACTGAAAACTATAACTTAAGATGAAACTCAAAGCTTTTAGTTGTTATGTTTTGCTCTAAAATGTCTCACAACCCTTTAAATAATTAACTCACAGACAATTAAATTTAAATAATAGACAGTAACAATAAAAATTGTTGTTGTAATGAATTTAGAGGTAACAATCAGTTTTTAATACATGTTCTTTATAAATATGTTCCCTAGAGATGTGCAGGGCTAATGTTCTTTGATAAAAAAAGCTCTAAACACCATTATAGTCATTGTTAATCTATCCCCAAATTTACAAACTAATGCAGCTTGGTTTACTTGTAATAAGCTTACCAATTTGCTTCTCTATGTAAAGTTTGATTGATGGTAATGTGTCCTTACCTCATTGTAGTCTGTCAATAGATGAGACCTTTATTCCTTTAACTCTTTTCAAATCTCAAGTATGAGGAATGTCTCATAAAACAAAATCCATTATTTTATTATAAGCTGATACATAACTTTTTGAAAGAAATACCACTTATCCTTCAAATGAGATCCCAAGCCTTTATGATCTTGTATTTCATTATGAACATGAATATGGAACAGAATAAGAATGTGATATGGAAATTTGTATATTAAATTAAAAACTGAAAATTAGAATGAAGTTATTTATTTTTATCTAAATGACTGCATAGACACATTGACAAGTTAACTTTAATTTCTAACAGAGACTATTGTTTGTGTCTTTTCAGTCTATTCGAGAAGTCACAGGCTATGTGTTAGTGGCTCTTAACCAGTTTCGTTACCTGCCTCTGGAGAATTTACGCATCATCCGTGGAACAAAACTTTATGAAGATCGGTATGCCTTGGCAATATTTCTAAACTACAGAAAAGATGGAAACTTTGGACTACAAGAACTTGGATTAAAGAACTTGACAGGTAAGAAAAACATCAGAAACAGCAAATGTACTTTCATTATCAATGAATGTAATGTGGTTACTGTAGTATGTGTTAGAAAGAATTACACTGCAGAGTATTTAAACATGGACTATTTATTCATTTTTTGCGTAATGATGCCCTGTGATTCCCTTGCTTTTATTTACAGATTTTGTAAGTGCAGTTTGAAAGATACCATAGTACCATATCTCAGCAGAACAGAAGTGCACTCTAAGGAAATGCTCAGTGACTGAAAACCCAGATATGAAGCAGGTTTAAGAATGTTTTTGGGTGGTCGCAGATGAACAGTAGACCATATCATCAAATCTGTGCAATAACACCACAGCTCTCAGTCTTGTCAGAGCTCAGGAATACCCAAGCCATTATATCTAGTTCAACTATTCTTTCATTGTTTGCACAATCACCTTATTTTGGAAAACATAGCTAATTTATTCAATTTCTATTTCTCTTATTCGTAGCTCATTAAATGCTATCAGTAATTTTTTCTTAGAATATTTCAAAAAAATATTTAAATTTTTTTATGTCATATAAGTTTAGGACTAATGGACTTGACCTAATTGCACACTAAGTAAAAACTCTGCTTATTATTAAGATATCTGACTGAACTAATGTACCACAATGTATTAAATGTTTTAGCTCATTCCTAAAGAAAGAGCATCATCTGGGAACTTGTTAGAAATGTAAATTCTTGGCCTTTGCATGAAATCTACTGAATGATAGGTCTGGGAATAGGACCCAGCAATGGGTGTTTTAAATATCCATCTAGAAATTCTGATCACTAATGTTTGAGTGAGAAACATTATTCTAATTAAAATTATGTTACCAAAATGGTAGAACAATATCTAGTTAACCTCTTTATACTTACTGGATACAAATAATTTTCATTTATTTTTCATTTTGTAGAGAGAAAGGAGTGGAATAGGCATGCTTTTATTTGAATGGCAAGAAATATACCCTAGATTGGTGTCAGAAGAATGGCACATTGAGAACCTGGAAGGAAACATGTATAAAATGACTCAAGAGGTGTTGGAGATGCTATAATATACATTTGTATCATCATTTTGCCCAATATCAACTTAGTGTACTAATAAACCATTACACAGACAATAATCATTCAAGCTGAATGATTTTATTTTTAAACACTCACAGCAAGATAAATAACAAGTAGTAGCTGTGAAGATGAGAAGTAGGTAGAGTATTGTAACAAATAATTTTGAGATCAGGATTTCAGAGTTTTGCGTGTATATGTATGTGTGTGGTTATAGTTTGTATTTCTCCTAAAATTGTTTTGCTCTGTTGGCATTAGAACAGAATATCTTTAGAAGAGCATACTTGCTTCCAGCATACTCTCTTTTATCTTTGTAGAAAGTAGATGTGCAGTTAAGGAGAGGGCTGCCATTTACAGTGGATGATGGTTGAATGTTCTTTAGACATATGTAAATTAACTCCCCTGTTTAACATTACTATTAATGAGCTTGATGTTCACCAAGTGCTATTCCATGTACTAAAGACATAATAAACTATCTTATTTAGATATGCTTTTACATTTACTTTACAAGGATACTCATTTTTTTTTTCTGGTGAAACAAAACAAAATAACAACTTGTTTTGCTGCTGCCAGGTCCATTACAGGTGAGGTGAGGTGAGGTAGAGTGGAGAAGAGGTAGGTTTCTAGAATAAAAATAGACCACTATTCTAAAAGAGAATGAGGAACTTGTCCTGCCATTTTCTAGGTTTCCATTAACACTAGGTGTCCCCAGAGGGAAGGTACATGTTTGTCAGTGTGTCCCCTATGGACATAACCATCTCTACCTTTAGGCTACTAGGAGTGTTCCTACTGTAGCTCTACTAGTTCAACTAGTCCAGAACTAGAGAGGAACACATAATGCCTCTATGAAGTTCCCTTGCAAGTAGGTGTGGTTCTAATTAGTCACTCCCAAGGATGAGTGTCTTCTGATTATTTTATCAGGTCCTTCTTAATCAAACATTCCAACTTAAAATCTAAATCAATGCTTTATATTAAATTTCCACCTTAAGTCTATAAACTTCTACTCATTTAGTCCTCAGTCTGGCCAAACTCTAAAAGGAGATTCATTTTATAGGACATAAAAGCCACTATTTTCTCTCTTCTATAATTTATAAAATTACTTCATCTATTACTAATGCTAAATAATATCATTTAAATTCATGTATGTTATATTTTATATATGGAAGAATTTTTGAGTTACCTAAATTCTTATCTATTTCTTAATATCCCATTTATAATAACCTAGGTATAAATTTAATACATGTATAGGTATATTTATCATACCAAGTTTTACCTTTATAAATTAGGAGAATGTCTCTTTTGAGTAGTAAAATTTAGGATGATACACAATTTTTTTGCACCTTCCAAAAATTAGCTAAATATTCTACATAATTTTAGATCAACATATTCATGTATTTTTGTATTTGTTTAATGTTTTGGGAAATTCCAATTGGGTAAATGTGTACTGGATCATCTCAAGTATATCATTATTTAAGATGTGGACAAATGCAAATTTTAAACAAAAAGTAAATAGTTAAAGTTATTTGGGGGAGCCCTGAATAATAATATAAATGATATATTAAGCTTGCTGGAATCAGGTAGACAAAAACTAAAATAAAAAAATAAATTTCTCATGTCTAGGAGATACAACATCTGAATGTTATAAACTTTGAAAGATATAAGATCTGAATACTATACTTGACTGCCTGCCTTCAAATATGCATGATTAGAATAGTCATTAAAATAATTCAGCACCTTTTAATATATAAGGTCATCAAACTTCCTTGACATCATTCTGTAATGGTCAAATAAGTAATCTAATATCAAAATGGACAAGGCACCTGCAATTGATTGTATGTCAAACAACAAGGATATGGTATCAGAAAATTTTCTGTCTAAAAGTGTGGTCTGTCACTTACAGTGTGGGTAACTCTGATGCTCAAGATTTATTTTATCTTGAAATTTCTGAAGAAAAATTCTGTCACAGTGTTGTAACAGGCAGTAGAGAAATGAAGTAGGGAACTGTCACCTACAGCACCTGTCACATAGATGATGCTCAGAAATCTTAGTTCTCTCTCATTATGTCTATTTTGTTTTTTAGCTTTCCTTTGTGTCAACACTTGGATGAAACTATCATGCTTGTTTCTACATATTCAAATATACTCTCTATTGCTTCATTGGAGTTTTAAATGTGACTTGTTTAGACAAAAAGATGCTCCAATTTTTACTGCCTCTTCTAATGGTATTTTGAAATTACTTTCTGTATAAGATCTGCTTCTCTGGCAGTGAGAAGCCTGAGGCTGGTCTTCATCCATTGTGCTGCCTTGACTACCTCATAGCCCTCCTCTCCTCCCTCCTTGCCCCAGCCCTTCATTTCAAATCTCCATCATTACTTTCACTCTTCATTGCCCCTGACATTGTCTTGACCTAGACAAAAGATTCATTCATTCTGAGTTCTTTTTTCTGATGCTGAAGTTGCTAAGCATTCTTCAACGGCTTTGTAAAAGGTCTTAGTACTGTTTGAATGGGTTCAGCCAGGTTAGTTCAGGGATTGTTGTTAGATAGAATGTTTGACATTCTATTTGCATTAGAAGAACTACTTGGCATGTTGTGATATTTGAGGAAAAAAATCCCAAGAATTCTCCAAGCTTAAGGAGAGATTACTTGGAAAATGATTTGATGAAAACCAATTTATAGTGAATATTATATGATCACACAAAATCGGTGAAAAGAGTGGCACTTTTTTATTTAGAAGTCAGTTTTTAGATTGGGTACATAATTTCCAGAAATCATATTTTAATTAGTGTTTCTTTTTTTTTTTTTTTTCTTTTTAATACTGTTGACTTGTCATGTGAGACAGTGTATATTGGTTAGCAAAAGAAAAATCAGGATGGTGTATTTGTGTCTGTAGATAAGGCAGAAACATATTTTTGTTAAAGAGGAAATTTTACAATTATGCAATCGATCAAAGAGTTATCACGGCCATTTCAGCAAGTTTTTCTGGCACTTCTCAACTTCATGGACTGATGAGTAATGTATGGAACTGAATGAAGGAAGGAATGAGAATTTCTCTATCTACTGTAGAAAAGAGACTACATGGAGAAATAAACCTTGGGTTGGGGGTATTTGTGGGGGGGTTCCAAAGAGCAAATACATCCTCTACTTTGGGATCAATTTTCATTTTCAGTTGTGATAACTAAGGTCTTCTACTCAGGCTGTACTACACATCCCCCTTGACCACTGTCCCACCCAGGGATTCTGAAGAGCCTGACTCTCAGAAGGATATTCCATTAAACACCTATAGTAGTCCGCAGGGGGGAAAATTATGGAAGCCTAATGTTATGGGAGTCTCTTAAGATAATTCCTTACTTGGGATCTTTGTGATTATTATAAACCTTGTAAATATTATTTCATGTTCCCAGGATATAGTAAGATCTACACGTTCCTTTTCCTAAGAGAAGAAGAATATATAGTGTGAGGAAAGAAAAATTTTAAAGTCAACCCACTCCCTTATCACAGTCCATTTATTGAGAAAGCCTGCTTGTTAGCTTATAGTGCTTAGAAAATGGAGGAGAACCTTTGCATCTCAGAATTCCAACTGCAATATAAGAAAATTATTAGTTATCACTGTTTATCACTATGGCTCTGCAATTTATCTCTGAGGAAATCAGTAAATATATCAAAATTCTGTGTGTTCATCCTCATCCCAAGGCATTAGTTTTTTCTGACTTGAAGACACTGAACTATAAATTAGAACTAACAAATTTCTAGCATCCAGTAAAAGTCACCAAGGGAGGAATAGCAATGTTGGGACCAGATTCATTAGATCCTTGCACATTCTGATTTGATGAAAGAAGAATGAAACAGTATGAATAATATTTAAATATAAAATATAAAAACTGAATCTGTATTTTAGACAGAATGAAGACTGCCTGGAATTTTTGCCAGGTCTCTA